GCATCGGGCTCCCTGCTCGGTGGGGAGTCTGCTTCTCCCTCTGACCCTCCTCCCTCTCATGCTGTCTCTCATTCTCGCTCTCAAATAAATAAAATCTTTAAAAAAAAAAAAAGAAAGAAAGAATGAATATAATACAACGGATGGAGCTCTGTTTTCCTGTGGAAGCCCACACATCTTCCTTGGCCTTGTAGCTGGCCCTTAAGAGGCATTAGACACCTGTGTGGGAGAAGGACCAGCCTGATGCTAGCCTTACCCCTGGGGGCCAGGGTCCTACACTTGTCCAGGATCACGTATGGGCACAGGTTCTTCCGTGCACCGTCCAGCAACACCCACCCCCGGATGAGCCCCACCACCACATCCTCGAAGGTAACTGACTCCTAAAACAACACACATATATTCTGGCTCAGCAAGGACCACCTGCAGGACAACTGGTTATCACTGGGGAAAGGAGCACGTTCAGAACACTCCCGCCACAGCAGGGCTCAGCAAACCTGGCCTGCCTCCTGTTTTAATAAATAAAGTTTTACTGGCACACAGCCTTGCCCATTTGTTTGTCCATCTCTACAGCGGGTGTTGTGCTGTAACAGCTGTGACCGCGACAGGGATCACATGGCCAACTGAGCAGACAAGATTTCCTTTCTTTTAACGGTTGGACAAATCCGAGAGTGTAAGCTTTGGCTCTCTTTGTCACTTCACACCACCAGTGACTGCCCGAGCCTATTTCTGGACTCTAGAGAGTTTTTCCTAAACTCTTTATTTAAGGCATCAGAAGTTTGGGATTGATCACTTAATTTTCATGAAATCCCTAGACCCCCTTCCCAAGACTTAAGCACTTTGTAATCTTTTATGTCTGTGAGAATAGGACTACCACTGCATCTGAGAAACTTAATGGTCTTTTCATCTCAGAACCCCGTAGCGCAGCATGCTCTGACAGAGCTTCCGTGAGGATGGGAATGTTCTAGGTCTGTGCTTTCCAAAAAGGCAGCCACCAGCATGTGTAGCTATTGAGCACTTGAGTGGCTCAGGCAACTAAGAAACTGGGTTTTTAATTTTACTGAATTTTAATTAATTTCAAGTTATACAGACACGTGTGTTTTTGGTAGGCCTCCCAAGGGATGGCCCAGGTGTGGAGCTCTGCTGCTGCCAAATCTAAATGAGCCCCATTCTGCAGTCAGACTCCGGAAATAGGCACAGAGCCCCGGGGTCACTGTGGGGACCCTCCTCCCAAGCCAGTTCCCACCAGAGCTCAGGCACTGAAAGAGACTATCAGGTCCCCTGGGGCAAGGCAGAGGGTGCTCCACACTTCCCCTCCCCTTTCTTCCTCAGTTGGGGGTGGGGAGAGAGGGGACAGACCCAGAGTACATAATCATGCTCCCCTCCCGCAATGATTCCGACTCCTCCAGTCCCCTCACCATGACACCAGCACCAGGATTTGAGGTCTCATCAGGCATCCTCCCTGCAATAAAAGAGACCAAGGTAATAAAAAAACAAAGGGGGGGTGAGGGTGAAGCAGAGCCCCACACAGGGGTTTGGCCCAGGTTAATACCACTTCCATGGGCCTTCAGCAGGGCAGCCCAGTGAAAACCCTCACACTGCATCTTTCCCAATAAGCAACATATTGCGCCCAGAGCCACCTTCCAGACTACAGCCCCCGTAGTGGTTCCTCTCATCTAATAAAAGGATTATTTCTCCTCTTATATTCTCTCAAAATACCTCTAACAGCCTCTACTTTTCCTCCACTGCCTCTTATCAAGTTGTGATTTTTAATTTATTTGCTTAGGTGATTTTGCCTCTCCCTCTCCAACTATAATGTACATTCCCGAAGTACAGACCTGTGTTCACCTTTTTCAGGACTCCAAATCCTGCCACTAGCACAGTGCTTGATCCGTGCTGAGTACTTTATATATTAGGGGTTGGTAAACTTTTTCTTCAAAAGGCCAGAGTTAATATCTTAGGATTTGTGGGCCAAATGGCCTCTAAACCAACAATCTAACTGTGGTTGTAGCACAAAAACAGCCACAGACAAGAGGTAAACAAAAAAAACACATTTGTTTTTCCATAAAAAAAACCTTTTTTATGGAAACCAGCATTGGGTCAGATTTGGCATAGTTTGCCAACCCCTGCTCTGTAATGTGATAGAGAGAATACATCAACCAAATTCTCTCAACTGCACATCCTACATGCTCTCAAACATGCCAACTTTGCCAGTTCCCCAACCATCATCAGGCCCCAGCTACCAGCATGAGTCATGAATTGATTCTAGCTCATATATGGACTTTCCAGACACCCTATTTATGGCCAACTCAGTTTCAATTCCCAATACCAACATATATGGACTCTCCATTCATTCTTGTCCACATGCTCAATCCAGGCGTAGGTGTTTTGTCTAAATCACAAACACTCTGTCACTCTCTTACTTAAAACTGATTCAGTGGTGGGGCGCCTGCATGGCTCAGTGAGTTAAGCATCCGACTCTTGACCTCAGCTCAGGTCTTGATATCAGGGTTGTGTGTTCAAGCCCCGCAATGGGCTTCACCCTGGGTGTGGTGCCTACTTTAAAAAATAAAGAAAATTTTTAAAAAACTGAAGGCTTCCCAATGGCCTTAGAACAAGGTCCAAAGTTTACCCTGGCCTTTAGGGCCCTGCCCACCTCTCCAACCTGGCTCATACATTCCACACTTTGTTTTCTCTACTTTAGCTGTCCCTCTTCTCTCAACTCCTGAAACACACCAGGCCTAGTCCTGCCTGAGAGGCTGTGCATCTGGAATGTTCTCTCAAATCTCTTCCCTACTCCTATTCCTAAATCCTTGTCTAGCTACATGCAGCTCATTTGGGGGATTCAAACATTTATCCCTTGTAAGGGGTTTTTCCTGACCTCCTCCCCAAGTTCTCCTGCTCCATGTTTCCTTATCACCCTGGTCATGATTAATTTAAGGGAGGATAAAACCTCCACAGTGGCAAGTATTATATTTATTTCAATCACACTGTTTCCCCCTGTACAAGGCCCAGTTCATAGAGGGCATCCCCAATGGAAGTGTGCCAAACAATCAACACTCCCCAAAAATAATTCAGCATAGTCAGCCTGAGGCATGCACCTGCACAGACACACAGAACAACAATGTAACACCACAAAATCAAATATAAAAATGACTTAAAATGCCTGTTCATATAACATAAATCAACACTAGCTTTCAGATGTCTTTAAGAAACAATGTTAAGTCTTTCTAAGATGGCAAGGCAGAACCTGGGCTCTTTTCGACAACAAACAACCTCACTTGAAATCTGAAGTCTACTTTTCTTCCAGAATTAATTTTTTTCCTCATTTCTCAAAAGTTAGTTTTAACCCTATTATTAAAAAAAAAAAAAAAAGACACTCCATTTATGACCAACTCAATTTCAATTCCCAGTACTAACAAACTATGTCATCTTTTTTCCTGGAGTCCCATATATTTTTAAGCCTCGTGGCGATTCATTCACAGGCTTGAGGTAACCAGACTGAGAACTGCCGGGAAAAGAACTGAATAATCTTCCTTTTCGTTGATGGTAAGACTTCTGACATGACTGGGAAATAGCTTTTCTTAAGACACCCTCATCTTGCAGGGAAAACCACTGATGCTCACAAATTAAAAGCTCTTTTAAATGAAAGAAAGGAATAAAGAGAAAGGAAAGGAAAGGGAAAGGGAAAAATGAAATGAAAGCTAAATTAACAGCCCCTAAGCTAAAGAACTACAAATAGTCACCAAAAAAACTAAAAAACAACAGCAACAACAAACTCTTGCCATCCCTTGATAGAGGGGACATTCCATTTTTTTAATTCACTTGACAGTCACTCAAACCAATCGGCACATGCAGCCTCAGCACCTAACTTTCCAGTTGCAGAGTAGGTAACATGAAACGTCCTATGAAATAAAACGTGAATTACTAATAAACAGCTCCATGCATAAGGGAGGTACGGGAGTGCCCTACAAATCCGGAAGGACGGGTGAGGGCTGGGCCGGCTGGGGGCACCACATTCCTGAGCTCCGGGACCTGGACTGTACTACGTGATTTCCCTTTTGATGGATGGGCGACCGTCCTGTCTGCCCGGACAGGCGGTACCTGAGGGCAGGGGGCCGGGCCGGGGGGTCGGGGTGACGGCTGCGAGGCCGAGTGGTGCGGGCCCCATCCCGGCGCGGGGTGCCACCGCGAGGAGGAGGCGCCGCCGCATGGGCGGCGGTCCGGGGCCCTCCGGCCCCTCCTCGCGAACGCAGGGCCCTCCCGCCTTCCCGAGGGGCCGGGCCGCACCTGCAGATCGGCCGGAGACACTCCCACCGCAGCGCGCCGCGCGGCCCAGGACACCCGCCGCCGCCCGTGGCCGCCGCGTACTTCCGCTTCCGGCCTGGAGGTCGCCGGGAGCGGAAGTGGCCGGGGCTCCAGTTCTCGGGACTAGAGGAGCTTCAGGCGGTGACAGAAATGTTGACCTCTTCTTCATCCGGCCTCGGAGAGTAAATCCTAGTTTCCTTCCCCGCGGGGTGAAGTTAGGCTCTGGAATGGGGTCGGACTGGACCTTGAATGGGGCGGGCAGAGATGGGGCCTGTGCCTGAAGGACGAGGCTAGGGGGGAGGGGGGCGCCTAGGTTGATGGGCGGGGCCCGGGCTTGGTGGGCGAGGATAGGGGTGGGATCTCGCTGGCAAGTCGGGATGCTCAGTGTTTAACTTACCTTCGCCCACCTACGCTTTGATCCTTTGGTTCAATCCATACTCCTACAAAAACATACCCATGGGTAAAATTTATTTTTCAGTCTTTCTAATTTCTTCTAAAAATAGGATTATATATTTTATGTCTTCTACAACTTACTTTCTCACTAAAAATAAGATGTGAAAAAATGTTCAAGACAATAGAAAATCTGACTCTTCTTTTTAAGATCTAATATGGGGGCAACTGGGTGGCTCAGTGGGTTAGGCCTTGGCTCTTGGTTTTGGCTCAGGTCATGAGCTCGTGGGTCGTGGGATCCAGCCTCCCCACCCCCACTCCCCGTGGGGCTCCGCCAGCAGCGTGCAGTTGGCTTGAAAGATTCTCTCCCTCTGTCCCTCCCCCAACTCGCGCTGGAGTGCTCGCTCTCAAATAAATAAATCTTTTTAAATATTTTATTTATTTATTAGACAGAGAGAGACACAGCTAGAGAGGGAACACAAGCAGGGGGAGTGGGAGAGAGAGAAGCAGGCTTCCCTCTGAGCAGGGAGCCCGATAAGGGGCTGGATCCCAGGACCCTGGGATCATGACCTGAGCCAAAAGCAGACGCTTAATGACTGAGCCACCCAGGCGCCCCAATAAATAAATATTTTTTAAAAACAAAAACTAATGTGTTTGGTATATAATATACATAATACATACACATAGGAGTTGAAATGGGAGGGGTCTCAATCCATCTCCAAATTTTCCCAGAAATAACCACTGTACCCAGTTCCCTGATAGTCTTTATATATCAAGCACATGTGTATATTATTTCTTTCAATAAATACTGATACAGCATCAGTTGATTGCTACATGCTAAGTGCTAGGATTACAAAGTGCCTTCCTGCAGGGGTGTTCCAAGTGGAGAATTGGAGGGGAGATATGGAGAAAGAGATGAGGTTGATGCATTCCAGTAAAACTAACAACACGGTGTAGTATGTGCTATGTTAGCAGAATTTGAAAAAAAAAAACAACTGATAAGAAGATATGGAGGCAAAATCAAGAAATTTGGTATGATTGAAAGTGAGTCTTGAAGGATGAGTATCAAGCCATTGAAATGGTTGTAGGAAAATGTTACAAGTATCGGGTATCGTGTAAGCAAGAACACAGCAGCATAGGGGATATACACATTCTGGGAATACTGAATAAGGTGTTATGGCTAGAAATTAAGGGTATGTGTGTGTTATTTTCACAAACATAGACAAATAGATCCAAGACAAAACAGCTCAGAAGCAGATTCAGGCATATATGGACATTCAGTATGTGTTAGTATTTCAAGTCAATGGGGAAGGGAAACTGTTGGGACAATTGGCTAAAGGATTAAGTTATTAGGTCTCTATTTCACATCATTCACAAATAATTTATTTATATTCTACATGTTCCAAAATTTCACTATGATCTATTCAGTAGGCTTGTTTAATATAGAAATGAATGTGTTTCAGCTCTAGGAAATTGTTTTATATTATTTCCTTGAATAATAGCCTCCTTTCTGTTTGGTTTTTTGTTTGTTTCTTTCTTTCCAAAATTCCTTAAACTTTATGTTTTTGGTCTCCTTGCAGATTGTCACCACTTTATATCTTATCCTTCTATTGAATTTTTATGTTGGCTGCCATAACTTTAATTTCTTAAAGCTCTTCTTTATTCTCTGAAGATTCCCTTTTTCCCCAACTGTTCTGGTTTCATCTTTTTGAAAATACAAATTAAAAGTATGTTTAAGAGTTCTCTTTGTTCCCAGAATTAGTTTGGACACCGTGGAATCTCCCTACTGCTCACATTGTCAAAACTAGGAATCCACTGAGGTTGTGAATTAATCTGCAGCCTCTGCAGCTGTAATTCTGCTATCTGCAAAATAAATTTTGAGGTTAGTTTTAGAGTTATTTCAAACTTGAGGCTATAAGAAATAAGAGATTGGGTGGTTCAGCATTCCCAAATCAATCAATGTGATAGAACACAGTAAGAGGAGAGAGAAGAATCATATGGTCCTCTCAATTGATGCAGAAAAAGCATTTGACAAAATACAGCATCTTTTCCTGATTAAAACTCTTAAGAGTATAGGGATAGAGGGAACATTCCTCAAGTTCATAAAATCCATCTATGAAAAACCCAAAGCGAATATCATCTTCAGTGGGGAAAAGCTGAGAGCCTTTCCCTCTAGATCAGGAACACGAAAAGGATGCCCACTCTAGCCACTATAGTTCAACATAGTACTAAAAGTCCTGCAACATCAATCAGACAACAAAAAGAACAGTATTCAAACTGGCAAAGAAGAAGTCAAACTCTCTCTCTTTGCAGATGACATGATACTTTATGTGGAAAATC